GTGTCTTGGATACAAACAGGAAAGTAAGTCATTGTGACTTGTCTGTTAACTGTAACGATGTGTCTGATGTTAAGCATGACATGGTTGATGTTACTGTTTCGCCGTTCAGGGATGATAGGTACATCAAACTCCCTAAATTTGAACCACGGTGTTTTGATGGAAACCCAGCTGATTATTTACAATTTGTAAAGGAGTTTGAGATCATGTTGAGTAGTTTTCTATTAAGTGATGAATTGAAGTTAATGTATTTGATGAGATATTGCACTGGAGATGCTGCAAGAGCTATACAGTGCTGTAAGTTTATGAAGCCAAAAGAGGGCAACGATGAGGCTATGAGCATATTACATCAAAGGTTTGGAAGACCTTCAATGATTGTAAAGAACGTATACGAAGCTGTCAAAGGTAATGGCAGCCAACTTCGATATGACTCCAAGGCACTTACTGAGTTTTTAGATAATCTTATGACTTATAAGAATACCTTGATTTCGATGAATTGCATGAGTGACCTCAACTCCAGCTCAGTCCTAGAGGTAATTGCGAGACGCATACCTACGCGGCTGCAAAGGAAGTGGGTGAAGATAGGCTCCCGTATGGAGGAAGAGGATATCGAGCCAAAATTTGATGATATTCTTAAACTAGTAAAAGATAGTGTCAATCAATCGATGAGCAAGTTTGCCAGTATATTGAATCTCACCCCTAGAATAGAGCAGTCTGAGGGTAAAACGCAATCATTGATGACGAAAGGGCCTCAGAGAGGTGGATATCGAGAAGGCTCCATGATGTCCAGTGATGCATATAGACCTAGTGAGTGTAACAGGTTTCGTAGTACATCCTCAACAGATAAGTTACAAGATGCAAGAGAAACACGGTTGTGTTTTACACGTTTGCAAGAGGTGCATACAAAGGTGAACTGTGAACCAGTAAGCAAGTTCAGTGATAAGCTAAATGTAAACTCCAGGTCTGACTCCGAATTGTGTGACGATAACGGTTTGGTCAGGAAGTCTGTAGTTGCAACAGGTAGGCCATTGTTAAATAGTGTCACAGAATAGAGTTGCTGCTTTAGAGTCCAGTTCTGACCTTACAAGTTTACAAAGTATGACTAGTCAGTGTGAAGATATAAAACCTTTTACGATTTGGGAGGAGGAACCGAAATTGTCTACTTCTGTTATTAAAGAGTTTGAAAATGATGAACTTGACGGTAAATTGAATATTTGTGGTAATGATCATGATAGTGCACATTTGTCTTTGGTTGATCATGATGAAATGGAGGGAATGCCTACTACTGCTAAGTTAAATAAAGGTTCTGTGGAACTTGAACGTGAAGTAGAAATAAATGCAGGTGCAGTTCGAGAAGGTGTGCATACTTGTGAGACAGTCAGTGTAATTGATCAGCGTGTAGCCCACCTATCATCAGATGATAGTGCTAAACCCGAACTAGTAGTGAAAGACAGCAGTGGTGGTAATCTTGCATTTGGAAAACTATCTGAAAGCCGAGAAAGAACAGCTTCTGATCCACCGCTAAGTTCATCAACTGGTATCAATCAGTCGTCGTTGGTGTTTTAATCCACAATGAAACAGACACCCATCAACTCAAGTATCTTCTGCAATGACTATGATAGTATTGGTGCGTTTGAAAAGACGAAAGATATTGCTCAGTTTAGTGAGAATAAGCGAAGTGTAAACGAGAGAGTAATTGTCAAATTGACTTGCACAAATAAAGGCATTCCTAGTTTCAAGTTACTATTTGAATGCTATTATCTTTGGTGTAAATTACTCTGTGCCTACGCTTGGTTGACCAGATACTTCGTATGTTTGTTCGTCATCTATGTTCTACGATACAATGACATGAGCGTGTTATCGTTCAGATTTGAGGATATACCTCATAGAAGGAAGTCAGCAAATGAACTCTGCGACGATTTTCCAACCTAGAGCGTCAACCTGAGAAGGGTTGTAGGCGTACTGCTGTAAGTCCTACAGTTGTTCAAGGGTAGTTTGTCGTGCAAGAATCCACAACATTTGATGTGTTGATTGTACATATGTTTGTGTAAAATAATTGTGTGAGTTCCATTTGATGTGATTGATGGTTAAACTGTTTGTGACCGGACATTCCACAAATTACAATCGTCAGCCTGAGAAGGGTTGTAGGCGTACTGGTGTAAGTCCTGCAATTCTCCAAAGGAATTCCACCAAGACATGATCGGCGAGTTTGTTTGTACTATTTGTATATACGTGTGGTGTGTCATATCAATTGGTGTTTTTTGGATTCATTGTGTTTACTTGTTGTTTTCGTACCTTGCTTTTGTTGCATAATTTTGTTAAAATTTTCGTCGTGATTACTTCTGAAGTTGTTTCGAGTCTTCTACATCCATGAATGAATTGGTTGATATTAAGGACGGCAGATGGGGCGTATACGCCGGGGAGGCTAGGCTATTGCTGAGAATGAAGTGCACACGGAGATAATTGTTAGCTGCGGTCCGACACGCCGGGGAGAAAGAGTGTAAACGACTGAGGCTCGCATGCGTCACCGCTACTAGAACTGAGGCAGAATGAGTGACAAGCGATTTCAGTGGTAATTGGTAATGAGTAGATAAGAGGATGTGCGTAGAGTATCATGAGTTGGTGCTATGGTCACGTTGCATTCTGCAAGAGTCATTCTAGCAAGTGGCGATTGTGTTGCAAGATGTCAAGAGGAGGTCTCTGTCTGGAGGCGCAGGTCGTCAGCGATATGTGAGATTGTGCTGTGGGTATGCTTGTGGTGTGTTGGCTTTTCTGTTTGTTTTCCATTTCAGCTCTGTCCGTGTGACCCAGGTTCTCGCAATGGCATCCAAGTCGACGTGCATTGGTCGTGAAGGAAAAAAGGGTTGGATCCCTTTTTTGCCGGGGAATGTCAATGGAGTTGAAGATTGAACGATCAATTCATGGTTGTTTGCTCAAAATCAACTTCCCCAATTTTCGCGGAGGCATCAATACGACAGTCATCGTCTCATCGGTCGCTGTTCAGAAAGAAGAGTGAAACATCGTCAGAAGTAATACAATGATTTATTATTGTAATACTTGTTCACAGAACTTAGTTCAGTTATAATTTTTATATGTTGGTGTAACAATAAAGAAATCTCAAGCGGCAGATCGGTGTAATGGTTTTTTCGTCCATTATAACTAAACGTTTCTGAAAACTTCAAGGAACAGCGTGGGCCCGAGCGTAGCGAGAGCTGGGCATTAACGGTTTTTGAGACGTGATTGACAATAGTGTTTTTGCAACCTGTTGGACAAGACTCAAGTCCAGTGGCCGATATACCTGGATCCACACGAGCAGGTTTATTGACAAGCACGGCTAGATTTGGCCCACTGCGGGACCCTCTCTTTCAGTTTACTGAACAATTGTGGTCGACAAAAAAACGCTATTCTCAATGACGCGGCGGGGAATGTCTTTTTCGGAGACTGTGAGATCCCTCTTTTAATGATATTAGAAGCTATGTCACCTTTGAATTCCAGCGTCATGCACATCAATTTCCTTGTCACAGGATCTGACTGAATATTGTCTGTATATCGTGGTAGAAATCCATTTTCTATTGGGATTCTTCCTAAAAGATTTAGCTCTTCCTCCAGAGCATTAAAATTATATGCTCACCGAATGCGAGTGGCAAGCGACCGACCAATTGGTACTCATCCGTAGAAACTTGTCAGCTTACTATTCCATGAAAGCTTTCTTTAAATTTATTTCTTTAGGTTTCCATCGGTCCTCCTTGATAAATTTATATCGAGGAAATAAATACTGGACTCATTCTTCGTTCTGAGTGTTGATTTGATCGCTGGACGGCAACCGTTTAATGCATCCAGTACATTATTCAAGTGAATATTACGGCATAACAGTGAGTGACTCAAAATAACCTTTTATGCATAGTGCAATTATACTCCTTGACAGTGCCCAAGTTTTATACTTATATTGGCCTATTAGAACTATTGGAAAGATTGGCCAGGCTATACTTAGGGAACATGGGATTTGCTGATAGATGATGATCTTTTATTTGTGGTTGCGAAACGGCCCATTTTAATCTGGGTCTTTGAGTTGGTCTTGTGCATGAAATTTAGCGAACTTCGCCTACACTTTCCGATTAGTATTGGTTCATCTGAATTTAGATACGTGATTGCTAATTTGTAGGGCAGAAAATGTTTCCCTGAGTGTTTTGCAGGCACCGGGCGTTCAGGTGTTCTTAAGGTTGAGGAAGCGATCTTTGATCTGACGGGAATGGAAGCAGTGGAGCACGTTGGAATAACCATTGAGCTATTTAATTGTAATTTAGCTGAATATTTACGAAACGAAGATATTAGAATATGTGTGAAAATATGAAATGTCTCAGTTTTTGACCTGAAAGTGGCATTTATCCACACTGACCACAGTGTTTTGCAGCTACTGGTAGTGAAGAGAGGTCCGAGAATGTGTCTCACCAATATAATATAATACCGAACACACGCAATTTTGTGAAAGGTAAATGAGAATTGTGGCCTGTAGTGACAGAAGTCACTAGTTTCCATCAGAGGTGCCAAACGCATCCATTTTCATATATTTTCACCCGCCTGTCCTAATGGATGTGGCAATAATCTACATGTTACTATTGAATACTCCTGTTGATTTAGAGTTTGCATATAATGGTGTCGTTCTTGGTCAAGACGAATACCAAATAAGTCCTCATTAGAGCATTCAAAAAATAGCCTCCAGTTTCTGAAAAGAGTAGCAGCTTTGCAGATACAAATATGACAGATTACGGAGGGTGTGGATTCAGTTTTCCGCACTTTTTACATATTGAAAACACTCAATTAAACCTTGTACAGAACTAGGTGTAGATAGTGAGCATTATTTATCTTCTAAAACTGTGTTATATCGTACTGAGCATACTACAGGTCACCCGAAGACCGTTCATATCATCTCCACCTAAATAATTGTTTTATAATTTCACTAAAGAGCAGTTCGCAAGTTTTCCCACAGGCGGGAACTTGGAGTTATGTCCTTTACATCCCAGGTTGAGTTCCTATTCTATTTGTTATCACTTTAATGCGAGTGTGTGGTGCATCTCATGTTACGAACCAAAATAATGAACTTTTGGATTTTATTTTCAAATCGGTGGTTACGGAAGGTTACATATATATATGTATAGATTCTAGGAGGATACTGATATTGCCGGGAGACGTGATGGGGAAATTGTTAACAACCACGAATTCACAGTTAATTATAATTATTCTCCCACACAGTACTGACTATGGGTAAACTGTAGACACTTTGGGGCGGGTTGCGGGCAACTGTCCCGCCTTCTGCAATGTGCCCTAAGTTTTTTGCCCGGAATTGTCTGCAGTCTACTCAGAGAAAATGTCAGTTGGGCTACTATAGTAGGTAAATATAATTAATTTTACGCATAGGGCTTAGCATCAGGATATGATTTGATTTCCTTCATGCGTTCTGGAAAAACGCCTTACTTTACACGCATGTGCGTTCAGCCACTCCGTTTTTCTGAAAATTCCTGTTTTTCTTGTGGTGCTTTTTCAACTGGTGAGTAGACTGTTTATGCTGTCACTCATTTGGGTTGGCACTCTTTGTCATTGGCCTCCTTCCGCTGACTAACTTGGTTTAGAGTTAGAACAAGAACTCAGATTTTCCCGACGTACTTCATTAACAAGCACCAAACTACCTCGAAGTTTACTGGCAGTTACTGTTCAATTATGTTGTATATGGGCGAGGGAAAAATTATCAATTAACTTACTTGCCGAATCACACCCAACCAATTGGTGCCAACCAACATACGACTACATGAATACCATCCACTATATTGTTTAATGATTTTATAAATTATGGCAAGACTTGCGCGTGGTGCTCAGGTTCATAGTTATAGACTAAACAATGTAGTAGAGCTTTGTATGCTTGATTTAAGAACTGTTAAAGCGATTATAGGCAGGTTCTGTGGTAATTCCACACATTCTTCCTTTCGTATATAGTGTTCGTTTGTAATCTGAAGCATGTGTACGCATAGAGGAATCTGTCCATTTTCTTGTGTGATTCTGTTCTACTAAGAGTCTGTATGAAAGTTTAGAAGCACGGGAAATAATAGTAGTTTGTATTTACATGGGCAATTAGGGTGGGCTGGCAAATTTAATGCTTTATATATCGCCGTTGTCATCTCTGCTTGTAGAGAAGAAATCTGTCCAGTCAGACTGCGCATGACGCTCCCATTCTTTAAGAAGTATTTCAGGCCTATTCTTTGTAACGCGTTTCTCTAATAGTAGGTCAGTCCCTTCGAGAGTAAAAGTGCGTCATACAAAGAAGGTAAACTTTTTTCCTAGCATAGTCAAGACATAGTTAACGAACTATAGCTTAAACGCAGGACCAATGAAGGGAAAAGCTGACTAGCCTCAGCATAGAACTTCGCCTAGAGGTGCTGCCACACTACGTAGCACACAAGAGAGGAAAATGATATTCGAAAAGCCGATAATAAGCAGGAATGTGAGTGAGAGGAATGGTGACATGCGAAGACAATAGGGTTTAATGGATAAGGCAGAATACAAAGGGTGAATGCATCTGCGTCACTGACTAAGAACTCACCATAACATCGACTGACCTCCCCTCCTTACCTAACGCTCGACGCCTAACTTCAGTATTCACAAGACTATTTTATCAGCGTCTGATGAACAAAAGGGCCTACAGTAGGGTTTTTGTATTATCACAATACATAAACTCAGTATAATTATATATATCAAGTAAGCTCAGGTATACAACACTAACAAACGTACATTGAGCCTTTGTTATTTAAGTAGGGAATACCAATAGAGTTCGAATAATGAGTAAGGTTATCATGTGCACTTGTATACATGATTTTAAACCAAAAGGACTCGCCGATATGACAAATTGTTTCATGGTAACATCAGATATGTAGACCTAACAATTTTTGCAAATTATCATAGGTAATTAATATAGACATTCAGAAACCAGTAACCATGAGTAACAGCGGACGGCTGTTCAAATTATCAAAGACTAACAGAAGGTATACAAGGTCAGCGATGTAGTCATTTAGGACGGGTCACTAATGCACCCACAGGGTGGGGGCGAAGCGAACTACAGCCTCTGGCATATGAAAATATTTCTTTTTACCTTCTCCTCAATGTTTTACTGAACTTTCCCTGAGTAGGAACTTTCTTAAGAAAATGTTGTTCAGCGATGCCTACGTATAAAAATCCTAGAACTGCGTTTATTTGGATTTTCCATGGTAACTGACTTATACTACTTTAATGGATTGATATTCGCTTACTAACTGACTGTCCTTTATTTATTTAACTTTCAGGATTTCTCAGACGGATGGTTTTATAGTCTCATTCCTCCACCAACTAACTGCATTTAGTACGCTGCAAAATGTCTTGTATATTCCAAGTGGAGCGTGTCCCTCCGAAATATAAGTTTTTCGGATACTTGCATGTCAGGACAGCAACTTTATTGCTTGCTTTGGTTCAAGTACTAGTACACCTCGTTGTTATTACCATTTCTACTGTCGCTCTCGGGCATGCATCATGTCGCGCAGAAGCAGAGTATGTGGTTTATGGTCTCGGTGTTATGTCTTTCATGCAATGGGAGCGATTTGTCAATTTACTAGACAAGTATTTTGTTGTATTTGATAACGTAACTGAGAAAAATGAATCTGGGGTACAATTTGCTATTGAAGATAAACGAAGTTTGTTTTTCTTGTTTTTCACTTAATATGGACAGATGACAAAAGAGAGTATGGTGATTCATTTATTTATGTTCGTGCAGCAAAATTTCTAAACTCTGGCGAAGAATACCTCTCAGTAGCTTTAACATTATTTTCTTTGTTTTGCTGCATGCTGCTGCTTGTTGGGGTTGTGCGTGCAAAGTCTCGCTACGTGCTACCATATTCTTGCCTACAGGTAAAAGAGTGTATCCATGAATTACGTTACTAGTCTCTGGATTTTTTCGTTACATGTCTTTCAGTTCTCGGTTATTTTTCCTACATTTCAGACAGAAAAAAGTTGATTTCCCCTCATGTAAGTCTTATTTTAAAGTGTACATATAAAATTGAATATTTTAAAATGATTGTCATTTAAACTAGTTAAGTAAATTTAATGTATGAGAAATCATTTCGTTGATTGGTTAAAACTCAATAACTGGGTACCTAGCTATGAGTCACACTGTGAGTAACTGATACTACCCGTATTAAAGTAGTCGAAGAGAAATTCGGACTCAGGGATCATTGGTCAGAGGTGAACTCTTTAAGTCAACGAGGTAAATCTCGGTGTTGGTCATATTTTGTTGAAAGCCACATGGTATACATCTTGGTTGGTCTACTCAATATACTATAATAAGTCGTTAGCCTATTAAATAAAATAGAACAGGGCACGATGCGTTTTGATGTCGTTCATTTCAGCAGTACTACAACCACGTTATTTCACACGACATCAGACCTGTGTGACAATTTATAAACCAAATCTTTCGTGTATGATTATAAGCAGTAAATTGCAGTCGGAACGTCATCAGTAAATAAATATTGACGTATACGTCACTGTTTTTCCGCAATAAAAGTAAGACGCAATTTCCGCACAAAGTACTAACTTGTACTGACGATCTATTCTATTACACCATAACTGTAAACTGGGATATGTCAACAAACTAAAATTGATAATTGATGAATTAGCTTTTATTAACGTAGTAATTCTTTTCACTAAAACGCAAAATTCAGTAGGTGCTGAAGCTTAGAATGGCTGTGTACTTACTTGAAGTGTTAATTTCCGCCTTGCATACAGTTCTAATCTTATTTTGCACTTGTTACAATTTTAGGTAGGACTGAGAATGCTGGTTATATGCGTTGGTATCTTGCTTCTTGGTCTTAAAGGTTACTTATTGCACATGGTTTGGCTGTGTTATAAGTTCCTATTAGGCTTTTCTGTGCCTACTGAAAACAGTATGGTGTTTTCAGTAGATTCCGGGTGTTACTCGTTCCCGTTTCTTCGTTATTGCAGAAGAAATCAAAGACCGTTGGAAGACTGTACTTCTGGATATTCCTTGATCGCTCAGCCACCTATCGAAAGTAAGTTTCGCTGTCGTTCTATGGTTTTAAGGTTATGAGCTACGCTACAGCGTCTTGCTCGAAGAGGTCATCAGTGTTTTTCAATATAGATCACATTACTTCGAAGAGATATTTAAGCGCGAAACGTAATAGCTGTTTCACTTAGATTGTAATTTCATTGTAGTGAAATCACTAGAGTAGTCTGGTCCTAGATTTGGGAATTGTTTCACCTGCATAGATGATGATAGACTAAATTGCATCACATTATATTCAGTCACAAGTTGTGATTCATTGGTCTAGATAGTAGTCAGCAGAGATTTTCAGAACCTGAAAAATAACAAGTAACGAATGACTTTGCACCACACTTCAATTAATTTTAAGCCACATCGCCGAGTTTCCAACCATTGATTCTTAGCATGTACTCCACGTGTGACTAATCCTGTTACAGCCGACATTGCCTGTCCATAAAAGCAGTGGCTCGACGTACGCGTAACATTTACCCTAACCATCTTAGTTCAGAAAGTCTTACAACTTAGTCAACTGACTTTCGCTACCTACTTTGCATCAAGTCTGGTTGTTACTAACTGTATTGCTTCAATTAATAGTAAAGACTGAACGAGGATATCAATCTACAAGAACCTATAATGTTCTTATTTGTGCAATGTAAGTTGGTGAACTGTTACGCGGTGCCGATTTTTGGCTCAGTGTTGGCCGTCACCAAATTGAGCGTCTCGTAAAACTCTTATTTTAACATCATCCGAACTGCAATTATCGGGTGAGATTATGAAAATGCATCGAAGTGAGGAGTTCTGTATTCTAGAGCCTGGTTCTGTCGGTACATCCATACGACGAATATCGTCGGTTCACCTTTATTGCCAGATTATGTGAACGACTGCACTCCAGTCTTGTATATTTCTTGGTGATACAACAGACATTCAGAGCATGAGTTACACGGGTTTCGTCTAATGTTTAGTCGACCATAAAGACAGGGCGTTGGAAGCCATAAATGATGTCTCATTATTGAGGTAGTTGCTAGTTTATTCAATTCATTTCTATACTTGATTGATTAAAATAAGTGGTGTTGTCATTCAGTAACTTGAAGGGTTCTACTATCAAGTTTGCCATCTTGATTTATCTTAAGATATGTGTAATAAGTATGATAACAATAGCCTGAGGGATTTATCGAAAAGAGCGTTCTTCCTTCATACCGATGTCACTTATTCGGTGGTTTATCAACGGGAGAATAGTTCCCACATGTATTTATTGTTCTGTGCTGTGTCGTAATAGTGGTGTTAATGTCTTCCATTTCCGTTTGTTACACTATGCGTGTCAGTGTGACTGAGGTTTGATCAATATGGTTAGCATGAAGCACAAAGTGATTTAGGCCTGATAGTGGTCATATCATTATAACAAGAATTTGAGAGGCAGTTGATGCTGTCACACAAAATAGGCTTATTCAGTGTAATTGAGTGAATCGCGTCTGCACGTGGGTCTTTTATTATTTGTTAATCATTAACAACTTCCTATATTAGACAATCACTTTACTACACTGCTAGCAGTTATAACTGAGATTACTGTTTGTCCTTATAAGAACATTTCACTGTTTCGCAATTTAAAAATGCATGCTATCACCAAGCTCCTATTAACAATTACATTTTATGTATTCAGATTCATCGCTACCACCAAAGTATGAAGATGTCGTCAATACAATCCCAAACTCTTCTGGACCACCAACGTATGACACAGTACTGAATACTGCTGCACTTGGAGACGTAAATACGTTATCAACTGGGATGAATGCTCCAAGTCCACCTTCACCCAAAAACTACAATTAGTTTACTATTGTATCAAATTTAGTGTTCCTGTTTATTTGTATGATACAGTCATTTTGGTTGTATATGTATGTATAGACATACACAATAAACTACTTACTGCTTACCACTTTCTTCTCTTTAATTGAAGTATGTCTGACTTGTTTGCATTTCAGAGTGAGCAATTAAAAAGTAATTGTAAGTTTTACTTTGTTGAGAGATAATCAAGAATATAGGCATTATCACCATAAAATAAAGCACTATTGCATATCCATCAAAAGGCAGTAAAAATAAAGCTCGTAGAAGGATTTCTACAAGGTATGAATGCATATGCGCTACTGCTAATAATCTGGACACTAATAGAATTAAAGGCCGATAGGCCTGACTTCATAAGAAAGAAGTGAGCAACTACAGCAAACAAATGTAGTTTGATTTTTGCGTGCTTCTCGAGCACGTGGATTTTTCTAAGAAATCTATTTAATCGACGAGAAATAAGTCCCATTACGAGTTTCGGATAAAATTCTGTAACTTGTTGTTTTAACATAAAATTCCCCTTAACCGATTGTTCTAATGTTCTTCACGTTTGTTTTTCAGGTGTAACTGCAAATGATTATTCCTATACGCTGCTTTACGTGTGGAAAGGTCGTCGGCGACAAATGGGAAAGCTACATAGGCTTATTACAAGCTGAATACGCTGAAGGAGATGCCTTGGATACTTTAGGTTTGCGGCGTTATTGCTGTCGACGAATGCTCCTCTCTCATGTTGATTTAATAGAGAAATTGTTGAACTATTCTCCCTTGCAAAGATGACAAAATTTGTTGAAATAAATGAATATATTTTCTGAATATTATTCGCATCTAAAATAAAAATTATGTTTCATTGTAACTGATTTCGTTAATTTCCTTGATACCAGCGCCGTAATGCACTAAACCATCCAGAAGGTGCCTTTTCTGTAGGGAACTGTTTCGTACTAGATATCATCGATTGCGGTTCTGTAAGAAAGGAAAAAATATTTTGTTATAAAGTAAAAACACATTGCAAGTTATATTGAATTCTTTCGGTGTGCCAGACCCGTTCGGGGTTAAGCATCCACCATCATATCGGTGAGTCATGTGCTCAAAGTACCAGTCTATAATGCGATAGCAGTTGTGTTGAGTTTGCGATAGCCTTTAGTCTGTTGACCAATATCATAAGCAAGCCTCGTTCTATTTAATTTCTAAATGCTTATGTAAGTGTTGAGAATAACCTTCAGCAGAATATTTGCAGTAAATCATGAAAACGTATATATGTATGTCACTCACCGTCATTATCTGTGATACTGAATTGCTGTCCATCTGGCTTCTTATAAATCACATGTTTCTTTTCACCGTCAGATGACCGCTCAATTGTAGTATGCACTTCGGTACCGTCAGGTTCACGGACAACCCTTTTTTGCACTTCTGTTACTTGCTGTAAATTCATTTGAAAAACATACGTTGTTAAACATGCTAATAATAACAATGTTAATCCATTTTCAATGTATATGGATACTTTCTTTAACAGGCTACAAACCACACTTGATAAATAAGAGCAGTAAGTTGGTCAGTTGTAATCTAATGCATCTTAAGAAAGTCATCTGTTAAATGCAAAACTGGATCACTGTGATCTGTCAAATTAATTAATTAATATGGAACTATGTATTACTAGTACTAAAGTTTCATTTTGATTTGCCTTTACTGGTTGTACTCTAACATTAATAGATTAAGAACAGGACAGCCTTGAGAAGAATTGAAGAAAATTAATCGACTTTATCAATAACTATTCGAAATTAACTTTCAAGCCTTGAAAAACAGCGCTCCGTCTTATGATACTTTGTCTGTAACAATACTTACTGATAATGTTTCAAGCACAATTTATTGCTCACATCAAGGTGATATGATTATGAGCAATAAATTGTGCTTGAAACATCATCAGTAAATATTACTCTGCCATATGTGTAAAACTTGGGCACTGTGGTAGTAAGTAATTCCATATTAGTTTGTTTATTAGATGTATCACACAGTGAAACAGTATTTTTTACTGGATGACGTTTCGAACAAAATTTATTGTTCATAATCATATCAATTGTAATCACACGTCTTCTAAACTCGAATTTCATAGTTAAAGAAAACTATAAAACTCAAGTTTCAAAGTCGTGTGATTACAATTGACATGATTATGAACAATAAATTTTGTTCGAAACCTCATCCAGTAAAAAATACTGTTTCACTGTGTGATACATCTAATAAGCAAACTAATATGGAACTATTACTCTGTAACACTGTGAGACTAAATCAAAATAAAGTTTTACCCATAATGGAATTATACTCTACCACAGTGCACAAGTTTTATTCTGATAAGTACATCTGCTTGTGGATAACTAATTTTGAAGTGTGGAAGCGTTAATACAGGCGACTGAAAGGCGTAATGAATGAATTGATACTATTAGTATCTCCAGTTATAGCCAATGTAATTCGGAACTCATATTCTATGGTGTTAACTGAAGAAAAACCGTTTCAGCATCTTATAGAACAGAATAAGTTGATTCTCAGTTGTTTGCTGAAGTCTCTCAGATCGGAACATTACACGTTTGGCTACATGCTTGGGATCCTTTTTCTCTTCTGACTACCCATCAGAAATGAGTTTCTCAGCCGTTTGTATGAACAACATCAACCATGTTAGAAACGATAGACACAAATTAAGCATCCTATCGAAAACTGGCTGAACCGAGATGTTGGCGTTTACTGCTGGGATCGTCGTCTTTGCATTTGACGTTATTTTATCAGTTTTCATAGTGACTATATAACTCTTAGACATCTAGGGAATATTGCGTCAAAATGCGTAAAAGGGTAAGCTTCGCGATTTTGAGTAAGGTTCGATTGGCTACATGGGGCTAGGAAAACAATAAAGATGGGAAAATGGGCCAAAGTATTTGGGATTACTGATCGCGATGTCGTGAGAACAGTACCATCATCCCTAGCCTCACCACATTCTGATTATGTAAAATCCGAATCTTCAGTAGTAAATACAATTGTATAATATATATATATATATATATATATATAATTTGGGTTTGGATCGCTCGACATCACGGATTAATCGTATATCTTCAGCCAATCTGTGCAGCTCCGATTAACTGCCGTACAAGACATTAAAATAAAAGAAGACAGTAGAGGTATGAGAAAGTAACAGGAACATAATGATAAAGAATCAAATTTTTGAGTATGGTATTCAAAAGTAGCAGGTGACATTAGAAGAGAGAATACAAAGTTGAGCTGAATAATCTATGACAGTATTACTGCGAATTTCGAATTGCCCGGACCTTAAGCTGAAAAAACGGTGAACTTATCTAACAGATTGTGACGAAGTAGTAAGGGAAAAAATAAACAGTAATGCAGTCAATATTTTCCGTTTTAAAACTGTCGGTTAATAACGACAAAGTTTAAAGATTTGATCGTCATAGCCTGTTAGCAGTCTCAGCTTACTCTATCAATTAAAGGAATTTTCATCCCTCTGAAAACGTTCTCTGATGGCAGTAAAATAAAAACAGGAGTAAATTCAACAAAAGACTTACACCGTTATCTCCAAAATATTTTCTGCTAACAAAGGAACTGCTCCAGCTTCGTATTGAAGATCCCCACCCACCAACATTTGGAGAGTCAGCTACCTGATCATCGATGATAATATCTCTCTTTTCAAAACGCTGTGCATCATTTTGTGGCTGGTATTGAAAAATCAGACGTATTACAATACAAAGCAAAGGAAACCACAAAACATAGTGGAGATTTGATTAACCAGAAAAGTTAAAACCAATTAAAAAGGTGGGATAATGTATAACAATAATACTAATAACAATTCGGACAAGTATCCAGGAATTCTGCTAGTTATCTCAGAACTTTATGTGCATCTATAAATTGTTGTCATTTCACTTGATATTATTTGGCTTAAGACGAAACCGATTCTTCAAGCTTTAGTAATTATTTCTAGAGGCCTTATTCATCTCATTTATCTAACTGTTGGAGTCGCATTCGTGATGCTTCTATTCTACCGACAGCTGCTAGTAATTCTCGACACACTGATCCGTGAGAAATGTAAATTTTGTTAAACATACGCAGAATGTAGTCAGGGAAGACGCACCAGCTCACCGACTTGACAACTAATAAACCCTATGATAACACGTTCAGGTCTGTGTGGTGAACATCACATCTGACAGGTTGTTAATCTTATTCTTTTTCGTAATGTCACTAGACTATTCAGACGAATTAGAATAGACGTATTACACTCATGTTAAAACGTTTCAGGAATTCGCCTGACTGCACAAAACACATTCCTGCTATGTGGAAATTGCCAGAATACAGTGTCTGGCTAATACTGAGTAAAACTACCGATGCTTGAAATATACTTAACTCTTATAACATCTAATTTACTGCTGCAGAAAATTTCTGGTGATATGATGGTCTGTCTCTGTCTGTTTTCGACATAGAACTTTGCACAAATGTGCGGAAGTTCAAGTCGCCACACTCCGTGTAGCACGCGAAGCAAGAGAAGAAAGTACAAGAAAAGCATAATAGAGACAGTGAGCAGAGGTGTGAGACAAAGGAGTAATAACGAAGAACAAAAAAGTTTCATTGGAAATCATAAATCACAATGAGTGGATACATCTGCGCCACTGAGAACGATTTTGAGCCATGTCACCAATTGTTTCCAACCATTGGTTTTTACCGTCCCGAGGACCCTGACCAGGAAGCCAGTCTATACCTTCCTACGTAGCTTAGACCGTTGTAGCTTTCATTGACTGGTGGCAAGTTTTTGTTTGACCTCCGCTAGCTTTTTTCCAGCCTGACCCTATATCCGCTAACATTGCTCGTCGAGGGAGGCGCTGACTTGGCATACGCAACACATGTCCTAACCATCTCAGTCTTTGTAGCTTCACGACTTCGTCGATTGATTTCCCCTGTTTACCTAGAACTCGACGCCTAACTTCAATGTTGCTCACCTTATTATGCCACTTTACACGGGAAATAGAGCGCAGGCACCTATGATCACAGACAGCTAGTCCTTTCATGTCTTCCACTCTAAGTGGCCAGGTCTCACAGCCATAAAGGAGGAGGTGATATGATGGGGAATGATTGTAAGAACTGTATGAAAGTGGTCTTTGTTTACCCCTAGTTACACGGATCGAAATAACAACTGTATCGTTTTTGAACATGTTTCATGATCAGTCGGTAAAAAGTTATCTACAGAAACACTAATTTTGTAATCGGTTAATAGCATATTAGTAGACTAAAAGTCCCAGACGGGTATCTAACTGAAGCCGAGATTGTAGGATATTTTATTGTAACGCAACTGGTAGTGACCCTACCAATCATACAATAAAAATTTATTAATAGGGATAATCAAATGTAGCTATATGTGCAGGTAAAAAAATGCCCCTAACATATGCGCCGAAAGCAACTTGGACCTCGTGTGTTTAGCCATAATATCTTCTGACTATCATTATGGTAATAACACCCCTGATGCAGCTTACAGAAACAAACGACTACAGGAGTAGTCTATGCGACAACTTTAATGCCGAGAAGGGATAAAGATTACTTTACATGATCAAAGGTTGATTGAATTTCAACACAGAACTTAGCAAAGTAGTGCAGCAGTTGACGTTGCCACATTCTATGTAGCACACAAAAGCAGAGAAAAGGAAAGGAGAAATTTGGAAGAACTACAATAAACAGAAATGTACGGGAAAAAGAATACTAAGGCAGAAAACCATGAGGATCTGGGAGATCGTAAAAAGTGAGTGAATTTGCGCCAAAGGACACTATTGAGCTATACCACCGGTAGTCTAGTCACTAGTTCTTAGCATCTCGGACACAACAACCAGGTAGCCTATACATCCCTGTGTGGTGCAAACCAACTACCAAGGGCATTATGGATACGTCTGACCACTCCTAACTTTTCCAAATTAATCCTATATCAGCTAACACTGCTTTTCAAGTAAGTTTGTGGTTCGGCATGAGTAGCATGCATCCTGACCACTAAAATCGATGCAGCTTCACAACCTTACTGACTTTTCTTTTCTATCTAACACTCTATACTTAAGCTCCATATTTATTTATTTATTTAAACGCATTAAAACTTGGTACAAGGTGGCACCAAGAAGGATGCGCCACACAATAATAATAAAACAACATAGATCAAAAGAAAAAAAGGAGAAAAATATATAGATAGGTAGATAACGAATGAAGAACATCTGGAAGGAAAATAGTCATGGTTAACAAGTCAAACAGTATTCGTTAACTATCATCGGGAAGGGAAGAAAGAAGGAAACTGCAACACGTGTAATAGCACGCGAAGAGGTTCATTGCTTGTTTGTTGCTTTATTCAATTCATTGTGTGAGGGCTGAGATACTGCCCGGGCGCCCAGACCGGAGAAGGTAGTTTTAGTAAGGGGTCACCCCTATCCGATCCTTTGACTTGGAGTCTAATCCGCAAGGCAGCGGAGCAGCGTCAGGAGCTACATTCCCATGGTTCCCGGTGACCCATATGGGTTCATACGCCATTTGATCCGATTGGATACAGGAGCCCATGTACCCCATGGTAACTGCTTTTAGTTTAACCGCTATCCAAACAACCTTCCTGACATGGTAGGACCTGCAGGGACAGAGTCCCAGTCAGTTTAGCATGTTGGGTCATTACGGTATTCAAGCCCGACCACCACGGCAAGGTAGCAGTTATCGACCGGGCAGCTCCATATTACTCATTATACAATGCCGCTTGACATGGGAGATAAAACACAGACATCGGCAACAAGCCTTTTAACATCTTCCACTCTTAATGCCCATCTTTAACAGCCATAAAGGACGGAACGAAGTAATGCACACCACAAATGTCTCCTGATCCACTGTCTTCACCTAAGAGGATAATATCATTCGTATACTTCAGGTTGACTGGTTAAAAGTCAATCCCTACGTCATCAAAATCATCTGGGGTTAAGTCCATTAGTACATGTATGGTGAAATTAAACAAAAACGAAGACAGTTTCTATCTCTGACGGCACTAGTGTCTGCCATCACTTTATATGACAACTCTGTTACCTTGTACACATCTAAGTCTGAGCAGTACATTCTTTCGTGCGGTATACTTTGTCGGCATTTACAGTATTTCACGCATCTAATTCGTTCGTTCTCATGACCAAGAACGAGTCAGATGTATGGAATGCCGTAATATTACAAGTTCGTGCTTTATATACGCAGAGTGAAGAGAAGAATCTACAATGACTGTCCTTAACTAACGCTTTATTGATGTACCACCACGAATAGGCTCTTCATTTTCACATCTGAAGATCCAAAAACTTCACGTTTGAGACCCTAAGCACTTGAACTTTAATAAATTATTATGCAGATAATAATCCAGACACTAAAATGCTATTTGCAAACATGATGATGGGATAGTTTTGAAAAGAAAATAATAGTCTAAACGGAATTTTCAGAGGTCTGGTGTGAAAAATGCTCGTGATACATAATTACCTTTACAAAAAACTGGTCGAATGGAAAGTTAGAAATTTGAGCAAAAATTTAATAGACGCACATATCTTAAAAGTTTTGATTTATGTTTGTACACATGAACATACCAACGACTTCTCGTAAATGCTTCTGTCCATCATATCTGGCTTCACAAAATCACCATAAAAAGGGAATAAATACCAGGGTTCCGGAGTCTGCATAGCACTGAATTCATCCTCCTATAGGTGTCAGTGTTGTATTGAGAAGACATACTGGTTTACGCAACATCTCATCCCGCGGAGACAGATGTTTATCCCTTGCTACAGAACAAAAGTGATCTGCTATAAATTTTTAACTTACGGTTAAAAAATCCTGAGAAAGCCATATCTTCAAACATTTTGTTAAAGCGCTCGAATATCTCATCCATCTGATCAAGTACAACAATTTTTGTAGCGAGTACGAGAATTAAATCGTTCAATGCCTGAGTCTAGGGTAGGGCCTACTTCATATTTTAAGATTTGTTGACTGAGCGTAGAAGGCTTGAAGCCTTTGTAATTCCTTACTGTCCTTTCCAACTGAGGGCGTTGACACCATTCCACAAATATGAAGTTAATCCTTGGCTTTTTACCTCTCCTGAAACCTCATCTCAGGTGTTGCGACCCGGTGGGAAGAAAAATATAAAAATAGGTCAGGTCTGCGGACACTGTTTAAAATTTAATCCACTAATGAGAACTCCTGTGTGTCTACCGCTCTGATGCTACTGAGAGTGTTGACTCCAGTGTAAAGAATTTGGAGAAGTAGTCTATCGCCGCCTTCACTTTTTTCCTGGTCCTCTGATCGCGTCGTGATTAGCAGTCAAGTATGGAACCCTAAGTGATGTATTATTCCTGGGGTTCATGGACTAAAATAATTTCTTGGGTCGTGAAGGTGTATATCGAGCTCGATGAATTTCGAGTTTCAGCAACAGCTTTGATCCTAGCAACGACGTACAGCATTCTGGCCTAAGAATCCCCAGTTATGATGTACAGGCTCCACCATTTACTCCAAATGTTTATGGCTAGAGGAGTTCTCTGTGGATAGGTCAGTAAGGCTGATCCAACCAAATTTGGAGTCTCACACCACGAGAATCTGAAATCTGGATGTCCATGAGCCTATTTACTGTACTCAAGATTCTTTTGTATTGCCATCAAGACTGTCATGTATGGCGATGAGGCAGATATCTAGCCTTGTACATTAGTATCAGTTAAAGGTTTTTGCATTTTGGAAAAGATCAAATTAATGCCTACCATGTTTAAATAGATATCTCACAATGATAAGTTTTTTATTTTTTGGTAATATTATGAATAAAATTATTGTTCGTGGTCACGCTAGCCGTTGGAATTGTTCCTTAATTAATTACCATTAACATTACTGAAAGAAGAAAACTTATTATTGTGTGGAAACTGTTGGCGTATAGTTGTAATTAATTCCTCCTATGCATTTAGTCTTCAGCGTAGAAGTTCTCATGAACCTTGTTTCATGTGCAACAGACTAGGGACATCTTGCGGCAGGTAACTACACCAGGGCCTCCTCATTTTAGTCCGTGGGCCCTAGATACTTTGAGTTTCGGGTGTTTAACTTCTTTGTCACTGACGTCGAATGTTTCCTTGGTGACATTTAAAACTCGGATTTTAGGATGTGGGATATATCCCAGCTCACTCTGCTTGCGGGCACTAGATTTACAAACTGTTTATTCAGACTGGTGCTTCCGACCTCCTGCCGCAGATGCGTCAATCTCTTCAGACTTCGGAAAACCCTTGGCGTTCAGGTTCTTCTTACCGCTTTGGCACCGTTCACTTGATTCTTGGGCCGTAGACTGTTTTTTGACGTGATATTCTAGGCATAAGTCATCACGAACGTTGGTGCCTTATCCTTTAAATGTTTGAGAGTTGCTTAATGTAGCATCCTTCTGTTTCTGAATTTAATGTGGCTCTGAGAATGCGTAAGGGCTGATTTACTACGGAGCAAGACCTTTGGCCGGTCCTGTACAAGCTATGGATAGTCACTTCTGTTACTAATAATTTCAGTAGCTTGTCTAAGCTTGGCTTGACTAGATTGGGGTCGCGATCAAACCCGACCCCGGTATCTGAAGCCAGACGTTCTTTCTCTTTGTGGTGAATGATCGACCAGTTGGAGAGTCTGGGTTTGCTTGGAATGGCTTCCTTTCTCTGGAGGGATAATGTCTTCCCGTCCTCCACCGATAGCAAGCTTTTCATAGTATCCGTGTCCCGCCACTCACTGACACCCTCTTCTTCATCTGGCTTTGGTGGTGGCTTTTAACAGTCTACTTGTGCCATGGATGATGCTAGACCTAAGAGTTCAGGGGCAACTTTGACTGCGGGTCTTTAAACCCTACCACGTCTTCCCGTCTTGGCAGCACTGGGTGAATTGGGATGACAGTTTCATTAGGAACACTTTTGCCACTGGTGTCTGCGCCAAGGTTGCTCTTCTGTGATCGTGGATGTTTGCAGTCCAGAAGCTACAATGCCCCGTTGAGCATGGCAATGGCTTCTGTGATACGTCACTCTGTAACAGTGCAAAAACAGCTTGCATGCAGATTGCTATTCTAAATACCAGTTTCAAAAATCCCTAGTCTTGACCACTTAATATTTTGTTAATGCGAAGACAATATTCCTATATTTCTTGATGTGCTCCATTGAATGACTAGTTACATTGGGGAATACCTTCAAGCTTTATGTTTTCCAAGTATTTTTAATCCATCCAAAACATACTTCAGTATTTTTTGTTAGTGCGAAGACAATATTTCTCTATTTCTTGATGTGCTCCATTGAATGACTGGTTATCATATTGTTCCCACAAACCAAAGACGAAAGCGTTAGCAACCATGTAATTTAACCATAAGCCAAATTTATGAAATTTAAATAATGCTTATCCATGCCTGTACATTTGGTGTGTCCTACACAGGTAGGAAAAAATATGTCTTATATTAAAACATTGTTATTAAGTATGATTGCTAATCGTATATGTAATTTATCATATTGATGATACCTGTAAACTGGCGTCCCTCATGTACAAAATGAGAATATATTATTATTATTAATTCGAGAGATCCCTGAGCATAAGTAAGTTGGCGACGCAGAAAATGTTTTAAAGACATGGGTGTCACTGCGTTAAGGTGAAATGATGCGGTGGAACAGGTTGTGTGATCGCTGGTTTCCGTGGCTCAATCCAGTCACTATTATGACAATGGTGGATAGCAGCATCACGCATAACACTGCACAGTAGTTGAACAGCTAGGCCAATTTGACTAAAAGGAACGGTAACTCAAATGAATTTTTAAGTACTATTTTGAAGACTGAACTAATGACGGTAACTTTTAGCCTTTCGAAGATTCACAGTTGCTCAGTAACATAAATAACATCATTGAAAACAGTTCATCTATAATCCTAGTTCATCAGAGAATCCAGGATAGATTTACCTCTTATGTATAGAGGGTATATCCCAGACTACCCCTAAGCACATCTGCCATGAGTGTTCTATCTTACTCAGAGAATATTTGGATTAGGTTAGTTGAAGTAGCTTCAGCATCCGTCGAGTGATGAGGAGTATTACATACCACGTCTTAGTCATGTAAAGGGACAAGGACCTAATTTATTCGTTCTTCACCAAACAGACGGAAAAACTGATTTTCATAGGGATACGGTGTCAGTGAACTCATCACTAAGTTCCTAGTGTTATGAAAGTGCTTCTTACCGATAAATACTATGTACATTATTCGACTTTAACTCCAAAACACCAGTATGGTAAGAAGGAAGTTATACTGTTCGGAATATAAAGTGACGAACAGTACGAGTATACAAAGAAATGTTTTATAAAAATTTATTATGTGGTTTATTCGTTTTTGTTCGCCTTCGTCGAAGTTGTATATGATCGAAGCATTCACTCCCTTCGAGTTGCACAAAAATGGCGACCAAGGCCACCTAACCAACGTAAAATGTTCAATTCCAGTGGCCCTCCCCTGCAAACAAGTGTCCATCACCTTATTTCATAGCATCGATAGAATTCAAATGAACTGAATCGCCCAAGCGGGTAAAAGAGTCACACGGACTAAGCTCCCATAACCCAGTAGATCATGTCTTGATGGAATCCCTTTGAGGAATTGCAGGACTTACACCAGTACGCCTGCAACCCTTCTCCGGTGGACGATTGTATGTTTAAGAATGTCCGGACACAAACAAGAGTAACCAACAATTACATTGATTGGAACCCACTCAATTACTTAACACAAACATATGTAGAATCAATACATCAAATGTTGTGGATTCTTGCCTGACGAACTACCCTTGAAGAACTGTAGGACTTACAGAAGTACGCCAACATCACTTCTCAGGTTGACGACACAGGTAGAAAGACGTCCGGACGCAAACAAATTTAACCAACAGATAGATGAGAGATGATACCAATGCAGTATGTACAACATGAACATATGTACAAAATAACACACCAAGTAGGATGGACTGCGTACCGAAGTATTACCCTTGAAGAATTGTACGACTTACAGCAGTACGACTACAACCCTTCTCAGGTTGACGCCCTGGGTCAGAAAATCGTCGAAGATTTCATCTAGTGACTTTCCGCTATCAGCTATATCCTCAAATTCGAACGGTAACACGCTCATGTCATTGTATCGTAGAATATAGATGGCGAACAAACACACGACATATGTGATGAACCAAGCGTAGGCACAGAGTAATTTACAAAAAAGATAATAGCATTCAAAAAGCGAATGGAATTTGAAAAACCTTTATACATGCAAGTCAATTTAGCAATTACCTTCTCGTACACACTTTGCTTATCCTCACTAAACTGACCAAAATTTTTCGTCTTTTCAAATGCACCAATACTATCATAGTCATTGCACAAGATACTTGAGCTGATGAGCGTCTTTTTCATCGTGGATGACAACACCAACGACGACTGATTGATACCAGTTGATGAACTTGGCGGTGGATCAGAAGCTGTTGTTGCTTGGCTTTTAGAAGTTTGCCTAACTGCAAGATTACCAGCACCACTGTCTTTTACCATTAGCACTAGTTTAGCATTAGCATCTGATGATAGGTGGGCTACGGGCTGATCAATTACACTGACGGTCTCATGAGCATCTATACCTTCTAGCACTGCATCTGCTCTTAAATCTATTTCACCTTCGAGTTTTACAGAAAATTTATTCAACTGAGCAGTAGTAGGCATTCCGCTCATCTCATCATGATCAGCCAACGACAAATCGGCCCTATCATGACCACTGTCAAAAATATCCACTTTACCTCCATTTGTATGATAAACTTCATCATTTGCGAACTCTTTAATAAGAGCAGAAGACAATTTGGGTTCCTCCTCACAAATCCTTAAAGGTTTTACACCTTCACTCTGACTATTAATACCTTGTAAACTTGTGGAGTGAGAATCGCGAT